GTGTCCAAACATGTCCTCGCAGTCTTTTTAACGAAAGCATAGTAACTGCAAAGTGTACATGAGAAAACTGTTCTTTTCCGTATGTCTATTATTTTCAATAATGTTTCATCACTATGAGAAATGGATGATCATTTCTGAACATGACGGATCTATCTTATAATCAAAGAGTTTAGATTATTTTTGAGTGGATATGTGTCCTAAAACCACAGTTCCCTTAAAGACTACACAGTAATTGGTATGAGAAACCTCTGCGACCCTGTAACCGGGTGGAACCCAGTTGGCAATGCAGACAACCTCTAGTTGCATCCACCGCATGTATCCACTACTTAATGTTAAGAGACTTCACAATTGGTGGAAAACGGTGACGAACATAATAAATGCTGCCATTCAGATGGGTTGGTACCCACCCATTCCTTACGCATGCACTTTTAAATTTCCTAAATTTATAGCCAATTATTAGAGCAAACTGTACTAACAACCACACTAACTTAGCTTCTCAACTATTTAGGGTCCTGGTTTCGAAAACTGGGACGGTGCTATCGTTGTCAGACCTTTAATATTGCATGTTTATGCTTATTTTATTAAAGCCAACCAGTGCGGCTGCGGTATGACTTGATTCGGCCAGTCTGGGGTGAATGGTGACTTAAAAGTAAATTGGCCATTATTCTAAGGATCATCAAACATCATCGCTAAGCTTGTTTACTATTTCTAAGTCTTTCGCTAAACGTAGAATCTGCAACTTCTACCTGAGATAAAGTTGGATCAAAGTTATAGTCTTTTATTTAGTCGAAATTCTGTGTTCTTTTTTACGGCTAACTTTCATCCGACCTTTGGGTAGCTCTTCTTTAAGTACTAGTAGCAATATTCCTATTTAATACAAAAATGAATATTTACAAAAAAGGCGGCTGTACCTGTAATTGGTTCTTGACTCGTCTCCTTTAGAGTAGCATGAGCTGGAACGCCTAAATCCGAAGTGAGTGACTGTTTGGCAACCACTGCATCAGCAAGAGAGCGCATCGTGTTAGTTAAATGTTCTGACTTTTCCTCAGAGGAGACCACCTCTTCCACCACCGTGCTCAACCACTGGCCCAAATTGACAACAGCCATGTGGCTCAAAATGAACCGGATGATGAACTTTTGAACATTGAAGGTCACCTGCAGGTAGAGCCAAATGACAATTGTTTCAGATATGAATGCAACCTTGCACATTCGCCTGTAAAGTGGCTAAGCAATTATAGTGCCGTTTATTGACGCTTTAAGGCGTAATTACAATCAGAAAGAGAAGCTTTAACATGATTCTATGGCATTCGTCGCAGATGACTAAATGACCTACGTTGATTTTAGGGATGTAATTCATGATCTAGGTTTAAAGACCCATTCAGTTAACGAAATATCTATCCATTAGTCGATGCAGGAATCAGAAAGTGTAAGGTAGAAAGTTGAAAATAACTTGACGGTTGATTAGGAGGGTCAAGTGCATTAAAGTGTAAATAAGGGAAAAGTGAGGATGCAAGTTGGGGAGACCATTCCATTTCAAATTCTGCTACTTGATTTTATTTTTGTATGAATTATCTCATATGATGCGTCTAGGGAAAAATTGAGCCTTTTGTAATAAGTGTCCAGTTCTAAGCAGTCTTTGTCCAAAAATAGTTCTATGTAAACATCCAGTGGTACAAAAAAACAAACTTTGTCACCTTGTAAAAGTACGCATGTAACAGAGAAGCATCGTTAATCTTAGATACTCTTCAATATCACTTCAGTGGTGATTCAGTGGGGAAAGTAAGGATTTATGCATACTGAGGTTCAACAAAACGCATAAACAGATGAGGTTTGCTCTAACTATAAGAAAACTAAAATCATGCAGGGTTTTTTGTATTACTGAATCTTTGCAAGAAGCCTCTTTGAATATTTTGCTTTTAAAATCACCACTACTGAAATCCATCAGCGCCCTTGGGAACAAAATCGAGTTTTAGTCGCGTGTACTTCGATCTCGCATTCGTTTCGTAACCGGTCACTTTGTATATGTTTATGGGATTAGGCAACATTCATGAAATGTAATAATGAGCACTAGAAAATCATCATCAGAAAATAAGGCAGATGGGATAGTGCGGCTCTCTTTCACTTCCGCTATCCTATCCCCGAAGTTAGAATCTACGTTTTGCAGTGTGCTCCATGAGGTCATGAGTGATATGATTTCCTGCTACGTGGTTTTGTTTAGCTGCCAAAAGAAGGTTGTTAACGAGTTTCTACAGCTTTGAAGCTCAACTTTTGAAGTGGGACGGGTTAAATCTCCTCCACCATGTTCAGTCAAGAACCCATGACGTAGGGAATATTGTACTACTAGTGCTACGCAAGTATGTGCCCTGTTATTCGTGTAACCAATTGAATAAACCCTGTTAGTTCCAACAGCTTGCAACTAATCTTCGAATTGTGATAAACCAAACTCAAAACAACTGTTTGGTAAAGTGAAACATCCTAACCCCACCAAAATGGACACATAACGCATTTCTCTACTTGCACGGAGATATGCAGAGAAGTGTATGAATTATTAAGACAGAAATGTGGATAAAATGGAATGAAATTGGTAGGAAGTTATGTAGAATCCAAAAGTGGCCGAATAGCCTTTCGAGTTAAGGATCACCTGGACGTAAATTGGCGTGCTATCACTTTCAAACGCATTCGATGCCATGCAATCCTGACTTTGTTAGAGCCACTAGCAAATATTTGTGCGTCAAGAAAAAATATGTGAATATTCAATGCTAAATCAAATTAAGAGTGTTTCTTTGCACACACTGAATTAATGTGGTTGCTGATGCATCTTATCTACTCTTAAAGGAGCCTTCCTGGACGTATACTTTTAATGAAGCCTACGAAAAGGAGAGATTTGATTTGAATTCTTGTAATTTGCTGCACACTAAGGGCTTGTGTTCCCTAAACTTTCACCTTTAACAAAAAATCAAACAAGGAAAGTGGTGGATGGATTGACCTAAATTACCCGTGTACCCCTAGACTCCTACAGTTCAGTCCCTGAAGGAGTGGTGTACAACTCTGGTTGTGCTCCTTCTGGAGCTCTTATATTGTAAAAGTAAGTTTGCCTCCATGCTGGTAGAGCTTGCATTGATGCCTAAATAATACTTATATAAAGGAAAGCTGGCTACTACTGTTAAATTTCGAGATACTTATGGTATAGAGGCCATGAATACCAGTTAGTCATCTATCACTTGTCCTAATCTTACATCGCTGAAGTGAAATAACACTTAAACTAGTCGCAACTATTAAAGGCAGTGGAAAACAGGGGAGCCTGTAAAACATTGCTTTCCTTGAAAGTACTCATAGCCTGGTGTCACTGTGACTACTTCAGTGGCGGGTGATTAAAAGCAAACCATAAGGCTAAGGTTTTACTGACGCCATCCGAGGCAATAGTATACTTGCTTGAACACGTTGAACAGATTAAATATTTTGCCCACTAACATGCTTGGGTTCTGCCTACTGAAAAACCCAAGTGATCAATTAAGTAGTGCATTATTTAAGTAATCAGGCAAACTTACTCGGTGGTACTTGAAGAGAAAGTAGGTCTGCCAGAAGATGTAGATAGCGTGGATCACATTCAGAGGGATCCAGAGGATACTATGACAGGTTCTTTCACTGTTTACTGCACGGAATTGATCGGCCACACGAAAACCGTCCATAATCATGACACCAAATCCAAACACTAAATCGTGTAGATAAGATAGTGCCTTAATTAAGCGATGAAGCGGAGTAAGGTCTGTAATTAGTAAGAAACAGGGATTTCGTGCTATGGTGGAGGTGATGACATTAATTTCCGACTGCAAAATACATGGCTATTTCCTTTCCTAGGTCGATAGTCATCTAACAAAGGTTGTGACCACATTATTGGAGTAATTTTCATATACTTAATAAACAGTAATATCTCTATTTATTAAAGTGGGATGCCGTTATATGACAAAAGATGTTCATCATTGCCTAATTCGTATGATGTTTTTTAACACTTAATTTCATATTTTTAAGCAAAACGGCATCGAGCTTTTAGTTCTTTTACAGAACTAAGTTGATAAATTAACATTTGTTAAGTGTAAAATGTAAAGCGGTAGTTCCGTCTATTCGCAAATCATTAGTGTAAGAAATTCAGAGGAATAGAGGCATTGTCCTCACTTAGGACTCGAAGGTCCCACCTATCTGAAACAAATATCCTTTTTGACAATGGAATCAAACTTGTCGGAACTTGAATTAGGAAAACTTTTAAAAATTAATCATAGTTTTCGATTCATTAATTTAGCCGTATGCGATGGGTTTGCATTTTACTTTATATCTTTACTTAAACTTAGATGTCAAAATCTTATTTTCACTGGTAAACTTAACCAATAAATCCAGGTGACACTGCAAAATACCGCGATTAGTTATGAAAAAGTAACTTTTAACTATCTAGAACAAATCATTATCATTACTACACCATAGATCGGCTAGTTGGAGAAAGTCTTTATCAGAAACAAGTATATTAGCCCTTACAAAGCATTCATAATTTAACTCCTGCTGCTCTTGCATCTTAAGCCAAATTTTTCTTCCACAATCAAGTTGTACATTTAACCTGGCTGAAAATAAAATTCACCTTTTTGATTTTTTTAAATACACTCTATTAAATGTGCCATTTTCGCAAGTGTATAACTACTGGTCTAGAATGACTGTTTTTCATCAATCTCATTGAAATTACGGAGTCGCTTTCGCTTCTGTGTGTCTTGAAATGAAGAATCGCCTAGCAAGTAACTACACGAAAAGATCTGGATAATCTAAGGTCATTTGCTATGTGTGTTTACCTCAAAGGAGGTATGGTATTCATTCAAGCTGGAGAACGGTCAATTCCCTCATTGGTGGCTTGCTAAGATGATCCCCCTGCAAGGGTCACATTATCATCAGCACCAGGCAGATGTAAACTTACCCACAGTACCCAAACGAAGGTAAAGATTGATGCCCTCTGAATTCTGTGTGTAGGGTGGATTCTTTTCGCTAATTATTCCAAACGTGTCTCCAAACATCCTTCCTATATGCGCCACACTTCGTTCAGCCAAGGATTTGGCGCCTGGCATCCCCGGTTTTGGCCGTCGCAAGGATTGAGCGTCACTTGATCCGCTGGGCTTCAAAGTTAATGCACGGTTTATTCAATCAACTTTATAAAAATTGTTTATATTTACAGCAAGTAGATGGATTTACTCATAATGTCAATGTACAAAGAAGTATTATAAATTAATATATGTAGACTAGTAAATGGCCAAAACTGACTATTTTACTCTTGAAATTTTGCAGGAGAATTTTATTATTGGTAACTGTTTATTAGCCCAAAAAATGAAATGTCAAAACTACCACAATGACAAAGGTGTTAGAGCTGAACACATTTAGTCTTTGTGCTTCTTGACTTATGAGTAGTGACATCTTTGATATCTTAACCTTGTGTGGCATGTCGGACCCCCTGTCACTTTCAACGCTGTGCTTGTAAGACATTCAAGGCCTTGGAATGAATCGGAAGAAGCGTTTGCTGCGAACACAAAGCATGTAGGATATCCTTAAATTCTTGTTACGAAACCATTCACACAGTAATTGTGACATCGTAGTTATAAAATGGGCTCGTGTTTATCAGTAGTAATTGTGTACAGGAATTTGCTTTACATTTTAGTATGATTTGCACGAAATTCCATAATAAAGGTCATTATTAATGTAACTAGTTTTATTTTAACTTTAGGGCACTATGTTTCATGCATTCACTGGCTTTTCTCCGTTTATTTTTTATCAAAATAAAGCTTAATTTACTCCATTTGGACTGATAAAAGCTAGCTTTACAAAATGCAGCTAAAAATTTTGTCTTATTCTTTTGCTTCTTGTAAAGAAAGGTCATTGTGCTATGCAAAAGTTAACATTAAGATCTCCATCCCTAAGGCTTGAAGCTCTTAAAAGCGCAGTCAGTTGCCAAAAAAAACACAAAACTGTTTTCACTAAAAGGTTTTACTAATGCGATGACCTAACTAATGCGAACGTAGACATGTAGGTTTAAATTTGACATAATATTTTATTTATATTGATGTGAAGGCTAGTTCTTACAAATTGTTTGAATCCAGTTGGTGTGATGTGAATGAAACACCAGCAAATGCAGAGAGGAGAAGTAACTCACCCATTAAACTCTGTTTAAGGGCAATACCCAAAGGAATTTCAAGAAAATTACGTGATTCAGTGCACAAAAGAGCACCTTCAAAATGCCTTAACATTTGTCTTTAACAAAATTGTATCTTTAATTCAGCAACAAGTTTAAAGGAAATCTTAGTGTACCTAGCAAAAGGACATAAGAACAAAAGAGTTGTAAGCGTCCATTTACCTGAAGGATTACAGTTTTAGCTGGTAGCAAAGTGTAGCCTGTTCCACATTGGACGGAATTTCTTGAATTGCTGAGATAGGAGTCGCTTTTTGGCATCTGTTCGTGGATGGGGGCAAAGTTATTTACAGAAGATGCCAAACCTTGGAAAAAAAAAGAAGACAAATTTTAATACCAATGTCTGGAAAAAACCTACAAACAACATTAAAATTGGGAATGCTGACAAAATGTTTGTAAACACAACTTCAGTAAAAAATTATACGTTGATTTTGCTGAAATATTAAGATTGCTATTTTCACAGCACTGGTTGCTCTGAGTTCTGTCGTTTAATCATTTTCAAACGCCATCTTTCGACTGAAAGTCATAAAGTTGGATTCCAAGAAAGTCTGTCTAAAATTATTTCCTCAAATTGTGTGCTAAAAAATATCTTATTGGCCTTTGAAATCTACCGAAAGCTCTAAATTTGCCTTCTAAAGAAGTTGTAAAACAAGATTCACAATTGGAATGGAAGCAAATGCTGTGCGTTTGTTGAATCATTTTCAACATTTACATCCAAAGAACGCTTTGGATAAGTCGGAAGTCAAAATACCTAAATATTCGAAAATGCACTCTAAAAGTATTTTTGACAAGTTTCTACATTTTTGCGGCGAACTCTAAACATAAATTCCAAACATTTTTCCACGAAATTAAGAGCAAAAGGTCCGCCTTTTCGGAGATGATAGTTCAAGAGTTATATCGGAGAATAGCGGAATTGCGATCTCCTTCCTAAATCGTCATGTTGACATTCTGCTTCATATAAAATTATTTCGCAGATGCATACATTTCTGATGATATATAATTTGAGCTCAGGTCTAACTTTAAGTTAAAAAGGAAAGGATGAAGTTGATTATACGCACAAACTGTCTATCAAGCTATACCAGCACCTCAGTCTCCACAGGTTACATTTGTGCTCTGCAGTATGGCTCTAGGACCCTGTCGGTAGCCTCCATGCCCCTCTGTATGTTATTAATGTAATCTCTCGTAATAATTTGGCCTGGTATGATTTCGGCGAGAACCCAGGAAGCTACATTGATAGCAGAGACAAGCAAATGGGACCAAAGTGCAAAAATATTCTGATTCCCAAGACCGAATGATAAACCTTAATGTTTTAGAAGAAAGGCCTCTACTGCCATCGAGTGAAGCCGCTAAGAAACTCGACATGGGGCATTGAAAATGTCAACTACCTTTGGCTTCTACTACAAGTCCACGTTCCACAAGAATGCTACAAGTAACTAGGAACCGTCCATTCTGGAGCCGTCTGCTGTATCTATATAAAGATGTTGAAAAGATTAACACAAGTGACATTTCCACTAGATCAACTGAATCTAAATAAATGGCTAGGCAGAACTAAAATGAGATGCAGGTGGCAGAGATGCAAATATTAGCCCCGCAAGTCTGCTCCAAATCGAATCTTCTTTTAAAGACTATAATGTTTTTATTAACTTTTCCTCTGCAAATGTTTGCTATACAAAATTCCTTTGTTGTAGAGCACCGACCGGTCTTGAGAAGGATAAGGTCGATGTATTTCTCTTTCCTCAATCTGTTCACAAGAAGGACAAAGCTATATGCGGTGCAATTCTTGTGATATACAAGTGAATTTGGAGTTAAGTGCTTTCTTGTATGCAAAGGGTTTCGATACTTGAAGTTCCTGTTTTGGAAGTGATTTTTAAAGCGACAACATAGGAGGATGACCAAAGGAAGGGCAGGAGATGACATTCAAAGGAAGAGAGAGAGGCTTTGTTCTGACTTGGAATTTTGTTTATTTTCTAGCATTTGTTTTAACAGTTTAATTGCAGGTCCGATTTGGTCAATGTGGGTTGTGCTTTCAGTCCGCGGCATGCCTTCCAGTCCCTACTTTGACTCATTACGACTTTGACGAGCGCCTGGGACGCTGCCCACAAGGGTAGAACACACAAAAGCTTCGTAGAACAACGATGTAGTGGTAGAAATTTGTGAGAGAGCCTACTTCAATAGGCCATAAATCTTGGAAAGCAGCGAAATTCGCAGCTTGTATATCCGAATGCCAGTCGCAGATTTCAGAAAAATGTATCCCATTCGATTTAATGATTGAACAACAGAGCAATAATACGTGTTCTTTTACCATTGACAGAGAATAATTTAAAACAGTTAAGATGGGAAATCATCAACAAAACGAGGCAAGTGGTACGAAATTAAAGAATGGTGGAATCAACTGTTGTGGCTTTTGCGTTTGGACACTAAAGGGTGCTGCTTGAAAACTATTTCATTTAGACACAGTAATGGGTTTGCTATTTCCTTTAAAGATATGTGCATTTTCGGTTTCTCCCCCTAAAATCATAACCTCTACGAATACGTTTAACAGTATCTACGGCGACATTCGATTATTACCGCATTTGAAGCCGCAAGTCCATTCTTTTTCACTTGGAATCCTCGAAGGTGATTTGCTTGCTTGACCAATTTTGGGATGTGAAAATTCCAACGCCGTTTCTGATCACGAATCTGTGAAGTGGTCAGCAATTAATCCACATGACGCCTTACAGAAAGTGTGATAGATGTGAAGAGCTCTTTTTGTCATGCGTGTCATTTGGCACCCATTGGCTTAGCAGCTTTTACGACCATCCCATTTGCTTAAAGTGCAAAGAAACTACCTCACAACCTTTCATATTTTAATATTTAGGTATTTTAGCGCATCTATTGTAACTCTTAATTTTGCAGTGTCATTAAGAGTAGAGGATGCGCCTGCCTGTGACGAACCTTTGGGTCACACATCAACAGAATCAACTTTTAAAGCCATTTTTGGACGATAAGTCATTCTGTTCCCTCATCTTACTTTCATGTCAAATAAATTTAAACAGGAAGCTTTTCGCTTTTAAAATATAAGTCGGTAAAGCAGACAAGTTTAAAATCACATTCATCAAGTTAAAAGTCGGAGCAGAATGGTAGAATTCCTTGTGGTTGATAGACTGACGCATGCCTGTGCCTCGTAATCCATTAATTTGGAGGACTACAAGTTACGACGAGTCATTGTAAAGACCCATGTTTAAAACCGAATCTTCTGGCGTTAACTTAGAATTAGTACTGTGTTATTTTAAAAGGAAATTTACCACTTTTGTTATCTTTGCATCAACTGGATGATTAACCCTGATGACATTGAAAGAGCGATTATAACGAGTGTTTTCATGGTTTCCAAATTAAAATCCTTTTATTTCTAGGTCTGCATGTTTTAAGACTTTAGATTCCCTACCATTTTGTTTGATCATTGGAATGTTTGATTTCTTTTTGCAACTTGAAACAGCAAAAGAAAGCGCACTAGCTTACCATGTACGGGGGTTGAAGTAGGGTTGCTCTCGTGAGATACTTCCTCAGTGCTATCCTCTGTTTGGATAGAGGGACTCATACCATCTGGTGGACTAGTTGGAATGGCAGCTGGACTTTCGTTAGATCCATTTTCTTCATCCTCATCATCCTCCTCATCCTCTTCATCAATGTGATTGTCAGTATTGTTTTTCAAACCCTGTACCAACCTCTGGCGTAGCCTTTCGCGCCGTTGCATCTTTCGATTGTAGTAGATCATCAGAGCTTGCAGATAGGCCATCGCAGCGATAGACATTGTGAATTGAATAAGTTGGAATACCTTTACAGATCAAATAAGATATGCAGCCAGGGTAGGGGTTAGAAAGGGCATCTCTTCCGTAGACGAACGTTTATCATGGATTGTCTAAGTTGAGGTTGGAGACGCTAACAGAACATTTTTGTTATCCTGTTACTCTGCTGTAATGTTGTGTTTTAGGGGAAGTTGCTTTGTACTTTAGACATTTGGTCAGTCCCTTTTTTTTGTGAAATTAGGGATACTATAGGTAATGACTCTGAAATAAATTGCCCTTCATTAAAAGTAACATTCGTTTGTAGATGCTTTTCGTTATCACTCACTACATTCCCAGGGTATGTGTTAGATTTTGCTCAAAAAGACATCACAAATCAAAAACGCCAGTCAAAAAGTTTAAAAAAACGCAAATTTTGAAGCACAGAAGAGCATTTATGTTGAAGCTAACGATATGATATTTTTCCCATATGTTGCTTTGGTTAGGAAAGATCCTTGATACATTTACTTGTAAAGAAAAATGAACCATAAAAAACCTGTTGATAGATTAGTTCTTATGGCTCCCTAAGTTTTCTTCTTCCATACCGAGACGAGTTTATGCATGAAGTGTGACGCCGCATTGGCAGTAGAAGCAAGCACACAGGTATCAACTAAAAAATACTCCTGAGCTTGTTGATTCGCTAATAAGGATGGGTAACCTAATCTGTTCAAATCCACCAAAGGGGCATCCGCTTTGGCAAACCCAACACTTAAAGTTCTACAGGACTACTGCTAGTGAAGCAAGACCAGAATGTTGATTTGAAACTCACTTAAAGTTCTGTCAATTCTGGAGTCCACGCGATCCCCTGTTACTCCTCATATGGTGATGGAAATAGGTCACTTTAAATGATTTCCTTCCAAACCCATGGCAGAAATTACTACTAATAGTTTGCATTTTCCTCGTGATGCGATACCAGCACAGCACCCTGAGTTCTACCTTGGAGTTTATTTGAATTCTTTACTGCCGAATTGGAGAGGTGACTACTTGTATAGCTGGAAATGACTACCAGTAAATTGCTTGTTTGATTCTGTGTTTAATTCCGTGAGCTTGGTAGCCGTCGTGGTGGGATTACTGAACTGGAATGCGTATGACTTCCTAGGTTTTCTTAACTGCATTTACAAACCACCCCCCTACACACACATGCCAAATCGAGGTTTCAAAAATGTCTTCAAGGGCATGTTTGCTGTTTTGTAAACAAAACTATGACAATTCAAAAATGGTAACAAAATTGTTTTAAACCTAACCGTAAATAAAGTTAAAGTCTTTGACGAAGTATAAAAACCTCAGGTGTAGTAGATGCAATTGTAAAGGTTGAGCATTTTGTTTAAGGTTGTGTTTTGAACTGTAAGGATTAGATATTAAAATTATTCCAAAAAGGTTATCCAACGATAATGAAAATTCTGAGGTCCAAAAGTGATTTGTTTTGAAGTGAATATAAAGGTGATTATAAGTGCTCAAAATAGAACCAAACTAACTGCTGATGCAAGTAGAAGTTCAAAACCTACCTACTGATGGATCTACTGAATTCGCTCACTTTTATTCCAGTTACTTTGTTATCAATCAAGCACACTTTAAATGCATGTTTTCGTGCACCAATTCCTAATCTCAATGGCCTAGCATCACCTTTTGTTGTAATAGGCACAGTTGTAAAATGCTAAAAGCGAGGGAAAAAATGAAAGGGTCTTTGGTACAATGCTAACACTTTCTGACCAACCTCGAAGTAGAACTTATGTTCTACATATTTTGGAGGTCCAAAAGCATCGATGATGGGGAGGACGAAGGAAGCTACTCCCTCCGCAATCGCAGAGAGGAGCAGAAGTGAGGACATAACTGAACTTCTAAATGAAAACCGTTGTTTTGATTTTTTTGTTCATTAGCGGTCACCCTGGTGCGTTTTTGGATGCAACTTTACCTCTTGTCCTTTATTTCATAGTCGGCAAAGGCGACACTGGGCCGTCTAGACAAAAAAGGAAAATCGGTGGGGTAAAATCAGTGTTTGTTTCCTATTAGTAGCTTTGAGGAGTTTTTTTATTTTGCATATTTTACATAGGTCAGAGAAAGCAATTAAGTCTACAATTTTTCACATACGTGGTTTGAACAAGGCTGTTTCATTGTTAAGTTTTTTTAATGCACTAAACTTTTACTTATATCCTCATCAGAAATCTAGGGGATAAGGTGAATTTTAACAAAGGCGTTACATCCCCGTGAGCTGAGTGAAAACCATAAAATGCTCTGTGAAAGTTGGGTGGTCAGATGTGTCACATGGGAGAAAGTGACTGACAGGCGGGCCACTGCATACGTACAAGAATGCGATGACAGTTTGCAGCATTTTAGACATTAGTCGTAAATAGTCAGTTGTTTCAAGCAATAGTCAGCGTTGATGAGTAGTAGACATTTAAGATGGTAACTCTTTAATTGATTATGGAACGATTTCAAAACACGGTTAAATTTTAAGTCCTGAAAATCACGTTAAATTTGCTGTCTGATACAAGTTTCATACGATACGAGGAAGAATAGACTAAGAATTAGCGGATCTACCGTCTCCTTGCAAGTTAGCTAATGATATACATGCTTGTATCATCGCAGTCTTAGTTGGTCCCGTTCACTTACTCAAAGGCTACTTCCTTGACAGTTTCCTGTACCACCACGGTCAGTACTAAATCTGCATATTCTTCGTTTATGTACTCCAAATACGTAATTTAAAAGTGATGGAGGATCGTTTTCCCTTTTCGCAAGATGCTGGCTGGGGTAATTTCAGCGGAATAAATTCATAGAGCAGTCGAAGTTATACGAGCTTCACTGTTTTGGACAAACTAGTTAGTAAAAACGCGATGGATGTCTGGGTGGATGGATAAAATGAATGGATGGATATAGGGCGGAAGGGTGAAAGGATGGATGGATACGCGGTTAATAGATGGATACGGGATGGATGGATAAATTATGAATGGATTGAGGATTGATGAATGAATGCAAAGGTGAGAAGCATTGTGGACATATTTTTGGAAATGCACAATATTTTCAATCACATATTCTTTCTAGACTTTTGATTGACTTGGCCTTTTGCCGAAAAAAGAATAAATTAGTCTCCACCATGACATCTGCCCTCCTTGATTTACCATTTACCTATTTGTTAGAGGTTACTTTTGGGCGGGCGCATCTTACCTTTGTTTTAATTGGCTTGTATTCCATACTATGTGGCTAAATGTCTATAAAATTTATTGAATTTCTCCAGAAAAGAGCTGTAAGATTATGATGTCTTGACCCGAGAGAACTTCAAACCCTAGCTAAATACCGCACAAAGCAGTGCTTTGATATTCTAACTATGTAGTCTCTTAATAATGCAACGAGGACCTCACCGTGGATGTCCAGGTGTCTATCCGTTCACTTAGCTGTAACCAATCATTGAAAAAATTTCAGTCTTTTTAACACCATAGAAAAAAACTCTTAAAAACCAATCAGAAAAGACGCGACTTAAGTATTTGTGTTTCTTTTGATGAGGAAACAACTTAGGTTACCTACGCGATGTTGTTTCATTCACACTTTGCGCAAACCTATGACTTTATAATCCGTGTTTTGAGAGGTTTAATGAGGTTATGGTGAGAGCTCCGCGACACTAAAATGTTTACTTGTGTTACTTTATGCATACTTAAAACAAATATGACTTTGTCGTTGGTGTTGTTGCTGATTTCCAAAAGGTGTTAGTTAAAGTTGGCTTTCAAACAGTATAGAAGGGATGACTAAAATAAACTATTGTTAAGGAATTTGTGAATTGTTTTCAAAATGTCATAAAAATTTATGACAGGATAGCAGGAACAGTGACACCCACACAATCGTCATGCTGATCAGACGTGCTACTCGAAAGGAATCAAAGAGTTGAATTTAAAAGCTTATCACAATTATTTTCCACTCCAGCTCTTGGTTACACTATATGGTCATGCCAAATGGGGTTTATCCATTGCTCCGCACCTTCACCTTCGACTTTTGAGGCGTTTTTTTTGAGAAATTATGGAATAACCCACTGTTGAAGGATTCATTAGGGCTACATTACCACTCCATAGGGAAAAGTGTAATCCTTCACTATTAAGTAGTGTTGACAACAAATGACACATTGTCATAATGCAGGTAAATTGCCGCCAATCTTTACAAGTGGGGATAATTTGGTACCGTTTTACTCAATGGTGGAAATGAAAGATTGAGATGTCCAAATAGTTGAAGAAATAATGACTGTCCATCAATTTGGTTTTGGTGCATGAGGTTTTCAGCCATTGTTTAAATCAACCTAGCACTGGGAGATGTGTCTCAAAACTTGAAACGTTTTGAACACCTTGATTTGCTTAAAATTTTGCCAAACCTCAAGGAATTTAGTAAATATTCCGATTTTACTTATTCTGAAAGTAATTAAGCTTATCCGGGCTATCTAAAGGCGTGCATCCACTTTTCCACCGAATAGAGTGACCATTTCGATTTGTCGAATGCAGGAGAACTAACCATCCATAAAATGCAAAGCTGTCGATATATTCCGTTGTTTCCGCCAATTTTAACCCTTAGTTAACTTTCCATTTTTATCAAATTCCATTTTAGGGTTCTGAAAAACTCTGACACCTTCAGATTGACACGGAAATCACAAATTTTGATCAGGACCCATCTAGATAAAACGTTTTCGGTGGTAATTGATGTGTTTAAAATGTGTAGGCTATTCAAACAAAAAGGTTGCTTCTGTCCTTAAAATCGACAGAGCTTTGCACCAAATTATTCCATGAGCAGATCCAAATTTTTGTTCAACCATTTACATGCAAGTAATTTTAGCACCTTTATTGCGTGATCATACGAATCAGCAAAGTTGTAAGACTCTAAATTTGAAGATGCATTTGCAATACATTTTTTTATTACTTAAAGTTGAGAAAGAAACTAACTACTGGGTTTACTAAAAGGATTCTATTCTATGCGTAGAGGCTATCATTGACACCCATTGGAAGCACAGACGTCTCAGTAGAGCAGTGTGCTCTGCTTACTAGTAAAGTAATAAAGTATTAATTCTTCATACCCTGCACATTTTAAACAAATTGTTACTTTTTAGGTGCTTTGGTACTCTAATGCTCCGCCTTAATAAAATATGGCAAAAATGGGATGGAATGCAATCTACATCATGTACAATAACATGAGCCTTGCTAGCGGATTTTTTGGGTTAAGTGAAACAAACAAAGTTTATTTAAAGTCTATTCTTTTCAAAAAAGGCTAAAAAAGTAGGTAAATTAAATGCTTGCCTTTTATGGGGTCTTCCGTTGGAATGTAGCCTATGAATTTGTTTTAAACCTCTGTGCCCAAATTCCTCCAACGTCCCCAGTCTTCGTCTAAATGACTTCTGCAGTGTATTCCACTTTTGTGATCTCATCGAGGGATGCTACAACACAACTAAACTGAGCTGCTGCTGTGAAGGCGACTTCTCATTGTACTCCACCAATAAATAACGCTACAGGCCTTTGAAATATGCAATCATTTCACGGAATGAAGCTACTTAATCATCTGATCAGAGGGTGGTTTACAAACCGCAGATCAATCAACAAGGTAGGCGAATCGGTGACTTTCAACCATGCCTTTGATATAGTTGTCTTAAGTCATATTTCGAAGCAGTCTAACGGAAATTTTGATATTTAGGTTAAAATAATTCGTTGACAAATCGCTTTTTTGCGGGAATGTAGTACACCCTTTTAAAAGGCGCCTTTTAGAAACTGTGAAAACGTAAAAAGTTGTTCAGTGACCGCAATAGGAACACCTGGTTCTTTGTGGGATATGAAACCAAAAGGAAAAAAATTTTTTCCCACTTCATTTTCGGGATTTTACCATAACAAAACGTCAAAAATCCCCTCAAATTTAATGCCATTTTCTTGAGGTGTCGCCTATGCAATAGATTGCTTTTTTTCGGGGAATTTGGATCGTATTCGTCGATTGGTGCTATTAAGCAAAAGCTCCACAGCTACTCAAAGAGAGAAAATGTACTTCCCTGTAAGCTTTTCTACGACGTTAAAATGCTGCTCATTCCCACAATTACATAGTGGAAAACTTTGGCTGTTTAAATAGACTTTGTGCTTTTATTACGCAAATAACTCCTTCCCGTCGTGGTTCGTGTTTGGCACGTCATCCACCAGAGGTCTCAGATGCTGATCGACAGCCATCATCCGATGTTTTGTTGTTTTTGTACGATACGATTTGTCATTAACTTTTTTGACAGGCTCAAATGGTACTCGTAACTAAGGAAAAAAAACTCGAATATTCTCAGACCAAGAATATCATGCAAATGATTGGTTAACGCTCAACCAATTGCCTTGCGACATACGACAGGATTCAAACATCATAAACCCGTAAATAACGCAAATCATTTGCTTACAAAAGTCGGTATGGGATGATAAACTTGAGAGTTCTTCTTTTCACAGTTCATTGAAAAAATATTTGAAAGTAACGCACTCTAGTTATATAATTATTTGCAAGTCATCCGATTTTTTTAAACATGTCCTGCTGTACTTCAAATGCGACAAATAAGTGGCAAACATTTTACTAAATTACATCTAAACTTCGGAGTGTACTACAAGAAAGGTGTGTTTTATAAGCCTAATGGAAGAATAAACCCTGTAAAACAATTCTTGGGATGGTGGAGTGATGTACTCAACCGGTGGGCATTGTCATTGCCTATATGCGGCTTTTTTGACTTTAAGAATAAAATTTGGTCTCAGCTTAGGAAAATGAAGTTCATGGGAAGGCGTAGATGATATTCCAGGGCTTTTTCATAGATCGAATCAAATGGACACTACCCTCGACATACCAATGGGACGATGGACTGAGAGACTTTTCAATCGAAAAGTTAAGGCATCATTATTTGCCACATCAATGAGGTGAAAATTTTGGATTGTGCTTTAGTATTATTATTATTAATAATTCATAAATAAGGAAATTTGCCTTGCATTCCTCTTAAAATGGGTCATAAACGGTCACGAAAAACAACAGGAGGTGGAATTTTCCCCTGTGACATTTTACGGCTCAAACTGGCATGAAATCTGCCAGATGGTAAAAGGGAAGGGTCTTTCAACAAACGTCTCTCCTACCTCATGTAATTTTACGCAGTTTTATTCTAAAGGTATGGTCAGAAAAATGGTGAGAATAGTGGTTAATTGTCACATATATAAGTCAAAATGGATCCAAATTCACAATTTTATCGTCCTAATGGGTTTATCTTCTAAATGCCATCACGGGTGATGCACAATTTTGGCTTCGTCTGACACAAAAAAAAAATAAATTTAAAAAGGGGAAACCCTTTGGATTCCATAATAAATAGCTGAGGAGATGCAAAACTTCACCGTTTGGGCATCTCCAATGAAAGGAACTCAGTAACAAACGGATTCAAGGGAAGTTTCAAGCAATTTGGAGGTATCTCCTTAGACTGCGATAGGTGGGGGCCGTTGAGACTCTCTTCTTCAACAGGCAGTCTTACTAGGGTTGCTAAAACTTCACTTTTAGGTGTCAAGAGCCATCCTGTGTTTGAAAAAACCGCACTTAAACTATCACTAATACTTAATTTGTTTAAATAAACTGAATTTTTTACGTCGCAGCGCTTGTGTGTTTGAAATTTTGGTACAGTAGGAAAAAATGTCTTAATGTCTGTTTCACCTTTTGCATATCACTGACAATTCTCGAGCTGTACTTATGGAAAGATCTAAACAAGTTAGCCAGTAGCTAGGACAAACATTCCTCAAAACATTTATTTTTTTGTTATTTTTGTGGGTAATTAGAAAGTAAACTTATTGCTTAACGTTCGAATTTATTTGCTGCCTACAAGGGCCCCACTAAAAATAGTTAATGTGCTCTCTCAATAACACGAGACTTCCAGCATTGCATAATTTTGTAAGAACATTGAGTAATATATGAGTGAGATAATTTTGTAGTATTGAGAGTAAAAAGATTATCTGTAAGTGAAACCACTATCTTCAACCCTTCCACATAATGTCTATGTGTGTGTGTTTGAACCGGGACACATCTGGGCATCCTAATGTGCCATTGTGATACCTGTTTAATGGAATATCATCAAATAACCTGGAAGCGGGAGCTATACCACATGTTACCAGAGGGATCCGACTGCGTCGAACCCCCAAGGGGAGACTTTCTTATGGTGGGCTCATGAGTGTGTTTATTAGTTAAAAATGGGCAGGTAGTTTGAATTAATGGGTATCTCAATCAGACGAGTTCTACTGTTGATGCTGGAGATGTCCGGACGTTTTCTTTGTGTGACTAATTCCCCTTACCCCCCCCCCCCACATTATGGTGACCTCGTCTAGTTCCTCCTCATTAATTGAAATCACTGTCACGTGCAAACAAATGTTCAGGGGGTTAATCAAGCCTATAAAGTCAAGTCCAAAATAAGCTACCCTGTGCTTCTGTTATCCATCCACCGACCACTTACACACCCAGCCACTCCGCCAAATAAAGGTCGCAGTATTGGAGGCTATCGCTTGGTTAATAGAGCTGGGGATTTGACGGGGTTCAAACTCACCCCCATAAACATCAGTTTATAACCCTTACGTGCTCATATAAATATGATAAATATAGTTATTAATAGTCTGCAAAATCTGTTATGCGAGACGAGGCGGTTCCTTGTTTCACCCGTACAACGTGATGCGAAATCGACTCTGCTCTAACAACACACCCATTAGGGCTAATGATGGTAATGAAACTGTCAAAATGCACAGAGACAGGAGTGGAGATAACTGTCTCATATCAAATCCGCCTGGTGAACAACAATACTCAGAATTATTTTGACTGCCTTTGCCTTCTACGTGTGGGAACTAAAGATATATCGCTTATTTTAAAAAACATATCTTCCCACGTTTTACCCAAATTACTTTTTTCTCAACCCAACTCAACACTTGACTTTAGTATGATGCAAAGACATTGATAAAATAAAATCAGACCATGTGCCGAGACTTGGATGTTGCTAGACACTCGATATTTATGTAATGCCAGAGTAGATTATACTATCGCATATTGCTATCATTCTAATGCAGAGCGTGAGCTTACAATCCAGGGGATTAATGTCCCAGAAAGGGAAATACCGAACGCACCTCATCATGTAATTATTTTTCCTGTTGAAATGAGGAAAGTCGAGCTTTGTCAATTGCCTCACGAAATGAGGAGCGCGGCGGCCACGCTTCCTACCGAAATCCAAGCGCGACCTTAATAGATTTCTTAGAGCAGTTCCACGTCCCCGAGGCTGCATATTCCACGTTGATGAAATAGGAAGATGAAAGCAAAATAGAAATTGGTTTGAGTTTCTTTTATAGGCACAATGACTGCGCCTACCGATTGGTTAGACTTGAGCACTCACAGTCACACGTGATCAGGAATGAATACATACACCCGAGCATTATCATGCTATGAGCGTTACTAAAATTTGCTACAGTCCGACTCCAGTTGGAAGGAGGCTCGAAAGTTTATTCCCCGAGGCTCCCCGATTTCGGGATATTTAAATGCGTTTAACGATAACTTCAACAACATAACTGCAAATGAAATAAATCTCAGCTCATTACAGATAGTAAAATTGCCTACGATCTGTAATTATTCATATATATATAAAAAAAACAAATAAACCGCTCTAAAAGGTCCTATATCCTGTAGAATGGAGCTGGCTGATATGCCCTTGTTGTAAAGTAAAACCCACCTTCTGCCACTACGTCAAAGGCAATGGGATACCTCAAGTGCAAAGATAATTTTTTTGCCAAATGACTAATTGACTAAACTTAAAGTACAAATTTCTCGAAGGCTGAGCAACTTGTGCACCAATAACAAAGTCCGGCAATGTTAAGAAAAATTTTAGGCTTATCAAGAGGGCTCTAAGCTACCTACATCTCTGATAGGCATAGATGATCATTGATCATTGCAAAGAATTGCTTATAACCGAAAACAGCCGCAATGACATGCCAGTTATAAATTACCAGAATTATTTTAGTGGTTAAATATGTGTTGTTGAACTTTGCAAGCGCTCGCGGGGGTCCGCGTGTTGGAGTCATGCACTTCGGCACGGCCTTTGCCTCATGTTAGTAGGCCCCAAATACCAACTCTTGAGCAGAACATTGTCTTGTTCCGACTTCAGGCATAACTCGGGGAACCATACTATGACATATTCGGATACATTGAAAGTTACCAATAAGAAACAGATGTTTTGAAGTTGATTTCTGTGGTTAAGAGAAACAAAAGACATCAAAATAAAATTGCATAAATGGTCGGCCGATCTGTAAAGGAATTTGCAAGAGCGTTATCAATCACCATATAACCATTGCAAATCAAGTTGCTCTGGCAATATGGAAATTTCATGCAACAATTTTGTCCTATTTGCATCGACAACGCAGAGTTGTATCTGAAAATAAGTAGATAAAGCTATTGAATATCGAGAAATGTGACAATAATCAAACAAATTTTTTACAAAACTGGGCTGGGTGTTGATTAAGTGTCGAATGAAGCACATGGTAAGGCAAATATATGTTTCTTCAATATGCATTATGCTAAAAAAGAAAATATTGCCTTACAAGATCTGCGAAGACAGAATACAGAATAGATAAGCACGTAAACAAAAACTTTCTCAATATCTACACAATAAGCGTCTCAAACTATATTTTCTTTTTTTAAAATTTTTTTAAAAGCAGCTATACTAACTGAAACAAATCAATAACATTTGTTTGTTTGTATCTTTGTTTGAGTTTATTGTTTCGGCCATCCGCACTTTCAACATTCCCTTAGTTATTGTGTGGTTCGGTCTCACAATTTTGGAGGTACTTCTCACCCTTTTTTCATTGTCACTTTGGTTTATCTGAAAAACGTCTACATTTTACAGAATTTGTTGCGTTTGGGTGTATTTTCCGTAGCAAGAGTTTCTTCATGAGTTCGGGAGCTGGTGCGATTCCGCCCAGTGCTACGGATCCCGAGTTAGAGGCCTGGTGGGAGGAGTTTTTGGCTAAAAAGAAGCTTGAAGATGCTCAGGACGAGGATGCCCGCCTAACTTGGGAGACCTGTGCTCAGCGGAAGCTGAAGTTTATACGTGAAGTTCGTCTTCTCACAGATCTTTATGAGCCTATTGGGAAGCAGGTTCATTCCATCCTCTCTGCGGATCATCATCACAGAGGCGAACGACTCTACGCGGAGTGGTGTAGGTTGAATTTTTTATTTTCCACATCATCTTCTAATTTTATCCAACTTGTCCCTCTTTTCTGGTTATTAGGCAAATTTAGAAGGAAAGAGTGCCTCATGGCTTACTATGACAACCCAATTTTCCGGGCGATTTATACGAACTATCGGTTCTTTGGCAGTGCTACAAGCTTTCTGCAGGTACTTCGCCATTATTTGTCGTTTTGGATTCAAAACATCAACTTCTTCCGTATTCCAGTCTACATTTTATATGGAGTCTTCTCGTTTCAATTGTTTTAGTTACTTACGCCACTTTTCTTCGTGTTGCTTCTATATTTTGTACTCTTTGATACAAATGTCACCAAGGTAATGCTTAGTACATCAATGAACGCACCATCGCTTGGGATTATTTATCATCGAAATCACATATATATCTGCATTCTTTGCTAGGTTGTAAAGCTCTTCCATAAGATCATGTAAACTTTTTGCTGTCGTATGCACTTTATTTGAGAGTTAAACACCCTTAATTATGTCGGACTCACTTTTACCTCCATTGTTTCCAAAACATTTTACGCCTTGCATTTGCTCTTTCTTTACAGTCGTAGCATACTGTATGATTGTTGTAATTTTTATGAAAGGTATTTGTTTTGGCCATCTGTAATAGCGTTTGAGGTTTTAATGTTTAACACCGTCCAGGATGTGCCTACTTCTCCTGGATCTCCTTTGGTTTTCGTATAGCTCCCATTTCTTGACTGAGGTTGCTCTTTTGTGAACGCTAAAATATTTGCGTAGTGTCCTGTAGGCCTAACCTTTGTAGCCAGAGTTTAGGATTCCCCTGATCTAATTCCACTTATGCCTAGTTTAATTCTCGCATTCTAATTAACTACTGGCATTTTTGGCATTTTCCTTCCTGGTTGGGGTTCTAAATTAAATTGAGTAAACCTACCACCATTCCGTGTTGTTTTCCCGATGATTCTTCTATGAAACTATAAATTCAATCAATTTGAATAAGTCAAATTTATGCCTGTATTGTTCAATTTTCCATGTTATTGGAACGATATCTTTGAAAGAAAGGCTCTGACAGTTCAATTTTGACCATTTGGGGATCTGGTCTTTGTTCTTTGTTTTGGATGATGGGCAATTTTGTTTAATACTCCCTTCCCCATGAGGAGCCTTCAAGCTAAACTGTAGGCCAGCCTGAACTCCAACGATTAAGATGAGAGCAGGCAACAGTGGAAGTGCCTTCGTGGAATGGCCTGTGGTGATAAGATTTTCCGTGACTTCGGCCATAATTTGTACGGTTTTGAAACGCGTAGATGGGGTATTTTAACGGGACTTTTGTTAGTGACGAATAAAAACGTGGTGGTTCCGTTTCCGACCCGTGGTGATCGTTCTTGTGACCATTCAGTCGGCTTGGAACATCTGGTTAGCATATAACCTGTCGTGAAATTGCAAGAGATAATTCTATTTGTTGTAACAGTGAACACAGTCATTCACGAATATTTGCGACTTCAAGGAGTTGACGCACTTTGGATGCCAAAATCAACACAGTGAGAAGGAGAGTTTTGACAAAGAAGGTCTGAATTTTCGGGACTGCATGGTTACATATAACGAACTCTTGATACATCGATTCGATGACGAAGTGCGGCAGGCTGTTTTCAGATGGTTCATTCGTGATGGCAATTTTCTATTGCTAAATTTCTTTCTAGGTGCTAGGTGAACGCTGGAATACGAGCATAACTGTGGCAGAACTAAGCGTAGTTTCTTCTCTGAAGTGTGTTCTTTCTTAACTATAACAGTCTTTGTTCAAGTCAAGAGGTTTATAACGCTCATCCACGTCTTCCAAGCAGTTTGATGAGCTCTGGATGGTTTGTCAAAATAATCGACTGATGAGGTTCAGAACGTGTATTTCACCTCTTGTAGGCACTTGTAGAACGCATCATTCCGGAGCATCCCGACCTTGAGATCTACCTTCGCGATCACGTCCGTCGCGTAATCAGTGTTGGTGTTGGTCCCGGTACCGACATTGCTGCGTTTCTGTCCTTCGCCCGTTGCCGTGGCTTTACAAATCGTCTAGTCTACTACGCCATTGATCAAAGCGAAGGATGGTCGACCTTCCTCAGCGCATTTGACCGTCACTGGTCCATGGTGCACAACATTTCTGTGTGGTTTAAATCGTGGCGATTTGGCAAACGGGACGATGTCGCTTGTCTCCCGGACGCGGACATGATGGTATTTAGCTTCTCAAACACAACTCTGATGGATAAGGCAATATGGCCGCTGTTGCAGCAACGGTACAGGTTCATCCTCGTGCTAGATGGGATGAAGGATGTAAGTGGACGTGTTAGAAGGTCTTATTACAATTTGCCAATCGGGTCTGGTCTTTGCTGTCAGACGATGTGTGAATGTGCTTGACGGATTGTTTCAATGGTTTGGGACTGTGTGGGGCATAGATTTGGATGTAACAGTGGGTTTGATTAGGGTGGAAAGGCCTAGTGCGGCTGAATTAATCAAGTCTGGAGGAACTAGTGAGTCAGTGATGACCGGATTTACTGATCGCTGAGTGGTAAATTTAATCTAAACTAAATAGATGATCTGGGGATGGGTAGTTGGACGAGCATATGAATTGATACGATAAAACAGTTGAAGTTATGGAGTCTTGCTTAATTAAGTGAATAGGCCGACTGATGTGTTATGCATGGTTTGATGATGATTAGTCCATCGCTGAAGTTATCGCCTCCTTCCGTTTTCCTTTTGTAGATGGTAGTGACGAATTTTGGGGCTGCAGGCTTCTCTGACTTCCGACTATCGGAGAAGACGACCGTCTATTATTACTTTATGGGACTTCCCACCTCTCCACAAAGTTCTGGAGATGCCGAGGCCAAAGAATGAGTTCTATAATTCTTCGTTTTTTGTTCCGTCCTTTGCTTCCCTTATGTACACATACACACACACTAGCTATGAGTATTAGTCCTCCTTCAATCGTGCTAATTCCGCTTACTAGGAAATATAACGAGCCTTTTTTAGAAGAACATTGGATCTTTCTCACGCCCTCTTTGTTTACCGTTCTCCCTTCTGGGCTGTTCGATTGCGCCGAGTTTTGCACTGGAGTAGGCTTGTTTGCGAATCCCCGAACGCCATCAAATGCGTAAAAAAGCTGCGGAGTGAAGGGATTTGAAGGTGGTGGACTGGTAGGTGCAGTGAATACGCAAATGCTTAATTACTACGCTACCCATCCAAAGGTGACCTCTAGAAGATTGGGAGGTTCTGGGTTGTCTTCCGAAATCACAAATAGGACTCTCTTCTAAGTGGCTAATTAGCCCTGGTTGTCATTAAGCAATTTTTTTTCCTTTGCACCCTTAGTTTGCATCATTTCGTATCTCCTGGATAACGGAAGATACTCAGCCTCCATCAAGCTAACAAAGCGTTTTGAACAAATCCACCCGCCGTGCACCACATATCCAAACGAAAAGAGCATGAATTGGCTCGTGCCCCGGAAGTGTGCGATAGTGGGTGGGTTAGTTGCGATAACCATTTTTGCGTTCCAACACTAAACAGGTGTTGCAATAAACCAAAAACGTCATTTCTCGTAACGTGTTAGTTAGTCAGTCATCCAGCTAGCAATCTCCAATGCACAGTGCGTCTGGATAACGAAAGCGAAGCACAGTGCATCTATTCGTTTATTAGTCTATAGTACTTCATCCTACCACTCGCAGTATGCTTTGACGAAGTGTTGCCTCTCCTTACCACAACCACATTGACGTTGACGCCTTGCCAATTAATTCAACCAATTCATCAACTAGCCAATTAACCAATCAGTAGCAGTGGCAGTCAACCAATCTACAAACGAATCAACCGATCAACCAATCACTTGCAGCTCAATTTACATCACAGAGAACGGAAGGTCACAGTGGTGTTGGAATTGCATTACTAGAAATAAGTTGTTTAAGTCATTTTGGTTAACACTGCTGCAGGATTATTTTGTCTGGAAATCTTGTAAAATGAGTTTTATAACGAACTTCTACGTCTGGTGCATTAAAGTTGTATTCAATGCGCTTTTAGATTAGACATGCTATATTTTTATGGTATGAAGGTTGCTAACCAGAAAGAGATAACTAAGAGCTCAATAAAGAATGTCATTCCTGTGACATACTCTCTCATATCTCTCTTCACTTTACAATGCCTATATTCAAGTAATTGATTGAATTTGGTAGAGATCCTCAAGCAAAGTAGTCATTGCCTCAAAATATGTTAAAAACTTGGCGAAGATTTCTAGTTGCCTACTAGGTTTTACCATTCTACTTTCATAAATTGTAAATACTGAAATGTGTATCATTGACGATTTTATGTGCACTTCTGCAGAAGGCCTGCCTTCCTATTGGTCAGGCCATATTACTTTCGATCTGATTGGCGCTCACATGGTAGACCAATAAACTAAGAGCATTCGAACAGATGTTGGCTTGTTTGACAGTCAGTTAAATTCGAATTGGATTGCGCAAAGCCTAAACAATATTTGAATAACTTTATGGAAAAACCTGATAGTTTGGCGTTGGAATCGCCATGACAAAGCATTCTTGAAACAAAAACTGTCAGTGATTAATCTCTTTTCCTTCACGGGGGTCTAGATTACTCAATAAATTGTAAGTAGCAGCATAATCCACAAGTGCTTTTTTCGTATCGGAGGGTCGGTAAGAAGTTAGAATTAAAGTTGTAACAATAGGGTAGAAATGTGGACCTTTTTTGTCCAAAAATACTCTTTTGGGCCACATAGAGGTGTGTTATTTGTTTCTGTGTATCTCTTCCGTGGGTGTTGCGATAACATACGCGTAAACTGCCTGATCGTCAGTCAAATGTAATTCTCGCCGTAAATTTGCACTGCGATTGCCAACTGCACACCAGCTAGTACAAACCATGAGATGGTGGGAGCCTTTTTTTCTCCATGCAGGAAGCGCCTCATGCTTCATCTGCTGACAGCTCCTTCGCAAAATGCTAATTGTGCAAGTGAAAAGAGTTCCTCACCTTTTAAAAAAGTCTTAGCAGAATAGGAACGACTACTTCACCGTTTTATTTTGTGATGTGAAAATGCAATACACTAATAATTTTTTTGAACAAAAACGGGGAATTTGCATCCACATCTTGTTTCTAATATAAGACCTGCTCATTCTTTCGTCAACCTCTACGCTTGCTTCTTTGAGGACTATTTTGTAACGTATGGACCTTACCATACGTTCAACCGTCTAACGAAACCGGACCAACCCACCCACTCATCTGTTTACTCACTTCGTGGCTTTATTTTTTTTTTACTTACGATGAAATGTACTCTTTCCGAAGTAGATAGACAAACTACACAACGGGTTGGCGCAATCCTGCATTAATGACTAATCGTGACCTCTCTGTGGAATCAAGGGGCTGCAGCAAGGGTCGCACAAAGCACCAAAATTAGAATTGATCAGCAAATAAGAATTAGCTCTTTTCAGTGATGACAAACTATTCATAAGATTTGTATTCTTAAACAAAATGATAAATAAGTTCAAGTAAGAGTAGTGCGTGCCACTTTAAAGTGTGATTCCAATTATTCCAGCAATATCAGAGTGCAGCGGATCACCAAAATGCGCCTCAGCATTGCCGCAGTACCGATTATATGCATATCCTTTGCTGACTCGGTGAATGGAGCTGGTATACCACGTTGGATATGGACACGTCTCCATTTCCCGTGATAGAGTTCGGAGTGCCAGTTCACATATACAGCACCTGTGCCGGCAAACTCCAATCCGGGAAATCCCCATACCTGTGGAAACAGAATGAGATGTTGAGGGATAGCCGCAATCATGGTGAAGTTCTTTAATAATCTTACCAACCAAATCGACGAAGTGGCACCTAGACAAACAGTGGCGTTAACTGCATGTCGATGCCTCGTCCGAAGCAGAATGCTTAGCACCTCTACTTGTGTTTGCTTCAATCATGCCTACTGTATAGAACGCGCCCAGTCCAATAAGCACGACAGATTTCACCAAAATGCATAGTATACCAATTTGGATAACGCAAATGTAACCCTTTGGTTATAAAAAGACTGCGAAAGAGGGATAGTGAGTTCTCCCCTAAAACATGTATGTTGTACCAGTTAAGACACAGGAAACATCACAGCAACTGAATCAGAACCAATCCCTACCTGAGCAAAGTCTGGAGTGATAGCAAAGTCCAAGTCCAAATTCAGGTTTCTTCAGTAATCCCTAGAAGCTCGTCAGATGATGCTACATGAGAAACAAATGTATTTTTGTCCACATCAAGTTAAGGATGGTCATTAGCACCAAGCAAAGCCCAATGTTTGACAGTTCTTCCCTTTATTCAACAACTCAGGCCTATCCAGCAAAATCCCTAACGCTAGTACAATTGGCCAAGAAGCCACCATATCGGCAGACAATACCCTAAAATCTGGCCAATAACAGTGGAAATGACATCTTGAACAAATCATAAAGGATTGAAAACTTGTGAAATTTAAACACTTTTACGCAAACAGTTGCATTAATGCAGCCTCTTATTGTTATTGCAAAAAACCTTTAGACATATCCAGAAATTTTTAGATATGAATAAAAGTTGAAAACACAAATACTTTAACTCCAAACGAAGTTTCGAACCAGTAATAAAAGCAAAAAGGAACTTGAGGACAAAAACAATGGACGATACACCACGCTTATTGATAGAATAATACCGTAATACATCAATTGTATAACCCGGTGTCGGTAACGGGCCACTTTGTGCCTTGGCTATTGCACCTTCGCCGGACCGGCTTGCCTCTGGGTCATGCCAGTAGCCTTGCTACCCTTTTATGCCAAATATACATATTCTACTTGAGTATCGTGTCTTCTTCCATCATCAAGGAAGTCTGGGTGCTCTGCGCTTGTGGCAGCATAAAGTGAACCCGGGCTTACAGGGCATCTGAACTGATTTCTACTTCTGGGTGATAAAGCTTACCTGGGCAAAAGAAGCGCATATGCTGCGAGTGAATCAATATGTATATTTCTTAAGCATATACATTTATGTTCAATAACTGTGAAAGAATGGTTACTTATATTAACAAACACTTCCTACTCATTTACTACTTAATTGATAGTTTTGAATAGTGCAAAACAGTTGCACCTGCCACCAATTTAATGCATATTTGTATTTGAAATACATGTCTGGGCAATGCCATTGAGAGGTTAGACCTTAGCTCTAGGCTGGAATTCAATTTCAACATGCCATAGTGCTAGCACAATTCCATTTACAGCATGAGCGTAGGCGTTCACGCTAAAGAGCTGCCACGAACGCTTTTTCCGCATAGGTGTGATAAAGTTGCCAAATCAGTAACCATTCTGGTGTCACCTCTTCTGATTACTCATAGACAGGAGGTGGTTTTGTAGTGATTTTAAACACATATTACCCATTTTGCGCCCTCTCTCTTTCACGTGTGTCAGTGAATGAGCCCAAAATGTCAACCTTTTTGACAAGCAAACAATGGGAAGGAGCTTTTCAGACACACCTTTCAAATACAAAATAGGACAGTCTAAACATACACAAACAGTATCAACTGCATAAATATGAACAAGAAAAGAGTGAGGGAAGGGGGAAGGTGCTTTGAGTTGGGAATTTGACTGATCAAGCCTGAGTCCCTTGGATTCGTGGATTGCGCATCTTTGGATCCGATGTCTGTAGCCACTCGAAACTGCGACAGAGTGTGTGCAAAAGCATTTGTGGAGTGAGACAATGATTAGGATCACAGACAAACTGTTAGTCAGAGTGAGTGGAAGCTCAACTGGGTGGTTGGAGTGGTTAAGCCTTCCTGTTGGTGGATTATCATTAAATGATTTGCCTTATTCTCATTGTTCCTCGTATGAGCATTTACGTAGAATAATAACCTCTACCCATTATTCCATGTATTCCGTAATGCAACAGGTGCCGGAGTAGCACAAAAGTGTGAGAGGGAGAGACTTGTACAAACTCACTTCACTCCACTGTCACGGCGTGTCAGACATGCTGTCTCCTCGTTGGAGTCAAGGCCGTGCGGCTCGGAGGAGTTTAATATTGAATCGCCACACACTGTGTGGTTTCGGCCGGCGAGGCTTCCTGCAATGCATCTAAATTACTACTGACGACGTCTTACCAGCTTCTTACTTCAGCATTTAAGCAAAACATGACTCGCGGTCCACTTTGATGATTCGCCCCTTCAACGCCGTCACCTTCTCTGCTCACACCATGTTACTCATTCCTGGTTATTTTCATCGTGAAGAACGCACCCTGTCCTCGCCATCCAATTCAACGCTAACTTATTGTAATTTTTGGCAGTGACTTCATCTGTCTCCCAGCCTTAAGCTTCAGTTTGTTCAATTCAACTGACTGATGGGATTGCCTTCCCACCTATGTGAGCCTTCTTTATTTTCCCTGTTCTTTTCCCCACCCCACCCCCGGTTTCCCTTCCATTAATGCTGTACTACCACGAAACGGCTTCAACACTCCTCATCATAACTGTTTTTGTTGTCTTTTTTCGTGCATAGATGTGGCATGTGCTCCTCAGCAGGATGCAATAACTGCAATTGAGTCACACCGTTCCTTGCTAAGGGAACGTTTATATGTAAACAAAAAAGTTGATGAAGGGTAATTGCATCTAGTAATTTTTGAGCCAGAATTCATTTTTAGCCTGCCGATTAGGCTTTCCGTGTTAAACTTTTTGAAATAAAAAGCAATTAAAACTGCATTGTCGTGGGATTTTCGAGTGTGGATTTGGTATAAGTAGGCAATGATCGCGGCTTGAGAAAAACGGTCTACCCATCCAACACGCATGCACTCGCCGACATTTCAACAGCACTTTGACGCAGGCAATTCATCAGAGTTAAAGAGAATCGAGACAGCGCGGGGAGGATTTCGTTGTCACCATCATCCCACCTACCTAGCGTTGATTAAATGGCTGCGATTTTGCCAGAGAAATTGCGTTGATGGGTTTCATTTTATTAAATTGAAGGGCTAAAATACATTTATTTGTTAATAGCAGTTTCACTGTTTAGCTGCAAACCGCATGCACATCGGATCCACTGTCTCAGTCATCATTATTTCCCACCACGACGACTAACATTTACACAGCAAAGAGAAATCACGTCAATTTCAGTACCACATTTTTCCTCGATG